TGGCGTTTTTTGGCCGTTTTTTGTGTTTCTATTTCTGTCCATTTTAGTGATGGTTTCTCTAGTTTTCGAAAAAAACTGTGAACTTTTTCAAGTGCATAAAATTTTAGCTTGTGACATTTTTCCAAATTTTGTGAACATTTTGAACTTTTTAAAAATTTCAAGAACTTTTGTAAAATTTCATGAAATTTTTTCCAAGCTCATGAACTTGTTTCCAATTTTGTGTTTTTGCAAATTCATGTTTTTTTATTTTTTATGAACTTTTCTCTATTTCATGATTGTTTTCAAAAGAATTGTGAACTCTTTTCAGATTAACATTTTTTTTGAAATTTTATGAACTTTCTAGAAAGTCAACGAGCAACTGTTAGACGGTGAAGCCACCCAACGAGATGGCATGAGTGAGCGTAGCTTTCACGTTTTGCTAAGCCCAGTAGGTAGCGCGTTCAAGTGCCAACACCATTAAGCAGCGCTGAGAGCGAAGAATATGAGCTTCCATATTGTCTGTACCTTTTAACTCATGCATCCATTTATTCACTCATTTATGGACAGCCATCAGAAAACACATGTCAAATTAATTAAAAAGATGAATGTACAGATGACAGCCAGCTAGCAACCAGTTCAACATATTGTCTACTAGTACTACAATGACTACAGCCAGCTAGCAGCTCCTACGAGACAACATGATAATTTATGGTTGTTTAATGTATTTGACCAGTATTTTCCCCTACTCCACCGAGTTATTTGTTTGCTAGTAGCTCAACACTGACCATATAAATTGTATTTTACCTAGGATATTTTGGTCATTATACTCTTCCAACATTTATTGCCCAACTAAGTGTGTGAATTGGTAAAAGTACTGCGGCCGGCCTATATATATGAGCATCCATTGATTAGTTCATCTCACGGTTCAGTCAAAACTCAAAAACAATAGAGAGTCAGCAACATAGGTGATGAACTTGTCATGGTGCTCCTTGCTTCTGCTGGTCGTTTTTGCAGCAGAGTTGGCACTGGCCGCGGTTGTTGATGATGCGGTACAATTTGATCCCAAAGACATTAAGATGACCATAAAGGTATACACATGTATCCATCTCCATCTATATATATGTTCAGTTGATTCAAAACTATACAACTCCTTACGATTTTGTTCTTTCGGGAGTATACCTTCTTCATTAGTTTTGTACGCATAACATTTTCTATACGCATATTGCAGAGCAGAAATGGGGAAATAATTGACTGTGTTGACATCTACAAGCAACCGAGCCTGAATAACCCCTTGCTGAAGGACCTGAAACACCAGGTTAATGATCCTCATTTTATACATGCAAATAATTAGCTACTGAATTTCCCGCGAGTGGTCTACTTTTATTCTCCATATCCAAGAAAATTAGTGCCCATATTTTCTTCCTTTTGAAACAAGTGATGCCGTGCATAAATGTGTGTGCGGGTGCATGCAGATAATGAGGGATATAGCCAGCGCCGTGGCTGGGCAACAAGATGGGAATACACGGGCGACGACGGTGGAGCAGGAATGGCACAAAGGCACAAGGCAATGCCCCATGGGGAGCATCCCCATCCTAAGGACGAACCCCTCCGTTAATTACCTCACAGGAAGTCTTTTCCCATCGCCGCTACGTGCAGCTAATATTAGCACTTGGAGTGGCGCTGCCAATGCGGCCGGCCCCAGATACGAGGTCTTTCTCCTCAGTATACTTATTTTGTGTTTGTATACTCTCACTGTTTCATAGTATTAGCTACTACTTGCAAGTCGTTTGGTCTCACCTTGATTTTGATGCGGGTGTGTAGTTCGCCGTAGCGATTGCTGCCAACGGGCCGTACAGCGGAGCGTATGTACAGCTGCCGGTGTGGAAGCCGGCGCGCGTCCACGGCTCGGAGTACACCGCGACCTACCTCCTCCTGGCCGGCACCAAGGACACCGAATTCGACCCTACACCCGGCGTATTACCGCCCGATGTCACCAATCAGATAGCAGCTGGCCTCTTTGTACGTACACGTGGGCACCATATACTACCTCAATTCTGTTTTATTTATTAGGTCTATCTACATAAGCATGTTATAATCACGACTTATAATGACATTAATAATTCATGTGCCGAGTGCGTTCTGCTTGCAGGCTTATCCAGAAAAAGACACCAATCCTCGGTTAAACATATTCTATACGGTGAGTATGTGTAGAGTGTACTCGTATGGTGACTAGGTGAGTGGTATGTAGCGCTATCCGAATCTGATCTAATCTTGTTTGATTCATGTACAAAGGCCGATGGCGGTAAGACTCTGTGCTACAACTTGAACTGCGGAGGGTTCGTTCAAACAAGCAGGGCCATCGCCCTGGGCGCTAGCATCGTCAATGGTGCATCCGGTGTAGATGATCCCGTACCATACTTACTAGTTAGTATAGAAAAGGTATGTACCTATGACATAACTTTTTGGATAATATAAATAGTTTCATTTTGTTAACAAGCTTTCCATTTCCATGCGTGGATGATGTGCAGAGCGCTGCTGGGCCTTGGCATGTGCTGGTGAACGACACGGACCTCGGCTACTACCCTCGGGCCATTTTCCCGTGGTGGATGTTCCCTGAGTCTGTTGCCAACCTGATGGGTGGCACGGTGCTCAACACATGGCCGGGCGGCAAGCACACCGACACCGTTGTGGGCAACGGACGACGGCCACCCAGGGACTCCAAACCTGCTATCGTCAAGGGTTACGTAGCTGTTGACCTCGATGGACACCCCTTCCCCGACACTCTGGAAGTCATTGTCCACACTGCGCCCAACTGCTACGACGTGAAGTTCTTCGACCAAAGCAATGGCAGCGTGGGTGCCAGCGTTGCATTCGGCGGATCAGGTGGACCGGACTGTGCTCCGCGGCCCGCCTAGATAGCTAGCTACATTATCCGGTTAGGTGCATGTATGCAAAAAAACTTCCTAGTGGCCTGTGGGTGCGCGATTTTAAGATTGGAAGTCTGAAGCTAAAGAGCGGTAGTTCAATAATAAAAGGATGTTTTGTGGCAGTAATTAAATTTCTTACTGTCCATGGATTCAAACAAATAAATGAGAGCAAGCATATTCTGCATATACGTATGGAAAACCCAGTTTTGGAAATGGGCATATCACAAAACTGTAAAACAATTTTATGAATCACCATACAACAAACTCGCCATTCACCAATGGAAACAACAAAATTGCCAGTTTTGAGCAAATAGCGATTTACTCCCGCATGATCACCAAGACACCAACTATGCACAAGCAATTAAACAAATACTGGATACTCCCGCATGATCATCCTAAATGTTTTGAGGATGCTCACAATTTTCTGTCCTTTTTTACTAGCATACACACGAAGTTACTCGTATCCTGGATACAATGTTCGTGTTCTTTTGATTTTGCTTGATTACGATAAGAAAAAGAAGAAATGCTTCTATAATGGCAATATGGTCCGGAGTAGTGATTTTCTTTTCACGCCTCAAACTCTACCTCTTTGATCTATAGCATATCGCTGAAATTGTGTTTTTTTTTGTTTATCCCAGGTGGACTATGATGTGCTCATCATTGACTCCACCACCGCTGGTTTCAAGGATGGTATCTCCAAGAATGACCGGACCCGTGAGCACGCTGTCCTTGCATTAACTCTTGGAGTGAAGCAGATGATCTGTTGTTTAATACTCCCTCCGTTCCTAAATATAAGTCTTTACAGAGATTTCACTATGAATCACATACGGATGTATATAGATGTATTTTAGAGTGTAGATTCATTCATTTTGCTCCATATGTGGTCCATGATGAAATCTCTCCAAAGACTTATATTTAGGAACGGAGGGAGTATGGTAAACTTGCTATTAAGCTTTGAAATGTTGATTCTTATGAGTGGCCATAAGATTTATGTATACTATTTTGCTATCCACTTGATCAGAGGGGTTCCGAATAATTTAGTACATTGACACTCCCATTTTCATTAGTACAAAAATGCAGTGTTGACTCTTGAGTGATCATAAGATGCTTGTACAATTTACCATAAGATGCTTGCAACCCTTATGATAACTAGATGGAGCAACCGAAATTCTGGAAGTGAGCATGTTTTATATTATACTGAGTGTCTGTGCAACCCCTTTAATTGCATGTTTACTTCAAAGGTTTATTCCAAACTTGCAGCCCGGGTTCTTTGTAAGAAAACATTTCGTATGGTAGTATGAGCATTTCGTATAACAAAGACTCTAGTGCCCACATAACAGGATCAAGCGACCAAGAATGCTTAAAAAAATGATCATATGGCCCTGACCTTTGAGAGCCGCCGACAAGCCACACCAAGGGACGCCGCGTAGGATGCCACTTCAGGGATGAATGAGGGTATCGAGCCGAGGTGAGCCCCTCCCCTCCTGCCAATGCCTTTCATCTGGCTTTCCTTGGTCAGTGGTGCTGACCGTGGCGAACTAGTGTTGCTGATAATAATTTAACTAGGTGATTCCCCACGCGTTGCAGCAGGAATTCATAATTTCTAATGAATTATATATGAAGGAAATGATGTAAATCAAATGCTAATATTTTAAAATGTAGAAATGTTTCGTACTTGCATTGTGTGTGAAACAACTCATCAAAATTACAATGCACACTATCCCAGTGAGAGGGGGCAGCGGCCCCCTCATGAAAGGTCTGCCAATGAAGGAGATACACATCCCGTTCCACTCACAGTTAAACCACGAGGACCAGGCTCCAGAAAACATAGATAATCAAGCCTGCCTATAGCACAACATCGATAAAGAAGCACACTCGGCGTATCACAAGCAGACGTCGTTCTACCATACCATAGTCGTTCCTCCTTTCCAGTGTCGCCAAGCAGTGATGTAATGGTCAACCCCATGTCTACTAGTGTGTACAGCTATGACACATCATCGCCCGTGAGACATGGCACCTTGATCTCAAAGCATTATGTCGGAGGGACGACGTTTGTGCCAACGTCAGCCCCAAGAAGGACAGTAGCGACCTGAAGTCCACCGTTCAAGCCACAACGTTAAAAACATGGCTCACGGACCTGAGATTGTTTCCTGTTTATAAAAGACACAATTCTCGGCCTGCTTCGTAGTAGTAAATAAATAGCAATGTTTCTAACATTATTTTACATAACTAATTTAGCATAACCGATAGATAATTATATAGCAAAAAACTGAAAATATGCTTCCCAAAATGATTAAATACAACAAGAAAGTAAATGCATGAAGTATAGGAATCAAGGGTAAAAAATATTTTCATTAGCTAAACAAACACATCCTTAACCTCTATCTATAGTGTTTTCTCCGACCTGAAACCTCAAACTATAAATTCTTTCATACTTCATACACGATATTACTCTGATCTGAACTTTCTTAAGAAGTCTTAAAGTAAGTAAAGTAATTAAGCATATACATTAACCTTTAGTAGTTACAACGTTTCAACGTCATGAAGCCATGATCTATAAGAGGTGAGAGCCGTTGAAAAATAATATGAACTCCCCGCAAAAAAAAAATATGAACAATACAACCATACTATTTAGAATTCTGATGGAAATCTAGTGTATTGCGTGCGCCACGGCTTTTATTCAGGCTTCCTTTCCACCTTGAGACAAATTATTATCATATCTTGTCAATAAAACATTTGGCAATTCTCTTGTATATTTTGGATTTTCCTTTCTTTATTCTACCCTTTGGAGTAGGCAGCCCTAGGTACTTGGCCTCAAAAGTGGCTTGAGTAACTTACAACACCCCTTTAACCTCATCATGTAAGCACAGAGAGCAAGACTGGCCAAACATGATGTAGCATTTATCATGGTTTCTGGGCTAGCCAAGGTATTGATGATTTGTTGGACCCGTAGGGCATGCTCACACTCTGCCTTGAAGAACAAAAGTGTGTTATCCATGAACAACATATGAGATGTACATGGGGGCCTTCTACACACTTTTGGGTTCTATACATACGATGAGCATTGACCTCTCTATGCAACAGAGCTGAGAGACCATCAAAAAGAAATAAGAGAAAAGAGGACCGCAGGTCACCTTGCCGTAGACATGGTTCCATTAAAATTTCGTGTAGTATCTCATTAAGGTCACACGTGACATTTTCTAGCTGACCCACTGATGAGCAAAACCGAAACCTTGCTTCGCCCTCTGAAGAAAGCTTCAATCCATAAGATCATACACATTAGAAAGGTCCAATTTATGTGCACAAAAGTTCTTATTATGGCAACGGGAGCGGTACTGGGGCACACAAGTGCGGGGGAGCCTATAGGGGCCCGCGGGACTGCATTCATCGCTCGAACATGATTCTCTCCTCTAGGTCACGTTGGGGATCACTAGTAAACAGATTTTGAGATGATGTTCCTAAATAAAGGGTTCATTGGATGATGCAAAGAAAACCTACGAAGCACCGATACGGCAGAAATCTCTGTATCGCCGTCCCGTACGCCACCGATACCCCGATACGCCAGATACGGCTTAGATACGGGTATCCCAGAAGTATCCCTTTTTTGATTTAAAAAGAAAAGAAAAAAAATGCCGATACGGCTGTGAAACGCGCAAGACACGGCTGGGACACGCCGAGGCAGCCCCGAGCGAGCCCAATAGCCCACGATGGGTCGACTAAACCTAGTTCTCTCGCACCCTGTCGTCACCACTCACCAGGAAGGGATCGAGGGCGCCACCGCTGCCGCCGCCACAACCATCAATGGCTCGCCGCCGCCGCCGCCGCCGCCACCCCAACTTCCTGGAATCGCATCTCTGACTCTCTTCTGCTCTTCTCCGCCGGCGACACAAGGTAAACACCCGAGCCCCGATGTTGTACTGATGTATGGTTGATCCATTGATGTATGCTTGGGGCTTGTCTACTGCTGGCTTTATGTATCGTTGATCCGTTTATGTAGGCAGTAATAGCACTCTCATAGTCATAGCTCATAGGTGTATACTCTAGTAATAGTTCGATCTGTTCCTGCTAGCTAATGTTGGTTGGATAAAAGTGCTCGCTAAGGATGATGCTTGTTGGATAAAATTGCTAGTTGATGTTGCTGGCTTGCTGGTTGTTGATGTTTGTGGGGTAAAATTACTTGCTGATATTGCTGTTGCCTCCCATTGCTAGGGAAGAAGATACAAGTATACACCATGTCATCTGCGGGGAGTAGCCATTGAGAACTTTTGCATTATTTGTCTATGGCCATTGAGAATTTAGAATTGAAACTTGTTGGAGGCTGAGAACAAGGAAGTTTATATTCATTTCATCATTTGGTATGCTACTGCTACAAGCCAACTTGTTTACAACCTTTTCAATTTTCATGATTGTCTGTTTCATATTATCAAATCTACTATCATGTGATGTATTTTCTATTTTGCATACACCATGAGGAATTGAGGAGTCGAGGGCCTGGATGATCATTCAAAAGTGAAAAGAAAGAAGGCATGGAAGCAATCAGGCAATCAGTGAGGCGGTATTTTCATCTCATCTCACATATTCTATTATGTTGGTTTTATTACATGTCATTTTATTATTATCTATATATGCTTGCCGTATCGCCGTATTGCTGTTTCTAGAAATTGCCGTATCCCGTATCACCGTACCCGTATCACCGTATCGGTGCTACGTAGAAGAAAACATCCCTTTGATGTCCTAACCAATATAAAAAGACTCAAAGCTCTTCCACAAGAAAAGTCTCCTTCTCCCGCTGGCACCGCCGCCGATCCGCTCCACCTCCAGTGGCCTTTGGGCCGTGGATGTGTGGAGGATCTCGGCTCCTCGCACAAATGTGATGGTTTTCTGCAATTTACTCGGGTTCTTCCGTTATAAAGAATTTGCTAGATACCGTTTCTCTCTCGTGCATTCACCAGCACCAACAATTTCTTCACCAGGTTGATAGACAAGCATGTTGACACCGCATTCCATCTTTTTTTACCTTACCAATTGGCAGCCAAACATGCCAAATGTTGGCAACTTCCAGCTTTGCAAATAGGCTTGCCAAAAATTGGCTGCAAACCAATCAGCCTCATTATCAATCAGATGTAATAAGTTACACAAGGCAAACTTACAGCACAACACAATACGTTACTCAGCTCAAGTGAGCAAGGCAAGGTGCAATGACAAATGCTCAACAAGTTGCGTCGGTCTTAACGCGAGACATAATCCAAGAAATTCCAGTTCTACCATAAAGGAAGGAATCACGACCTGATACATCCAAGGCTGACTGATAGTCGGAGGGGGGAAACGAGATCTAACCATTAATTAGCAAGGGCAACGAAGATGCACGATAATCCCTACACATAATCTAAACCTAATCAGCAAACAGAAGCCATAGACCAGAATCAAATTGTCCTCTTCAACCAATGGAAGTCCAGTCCAGAGTGCACCTGCTACAAAAACAATGCCCCCGACTGTGCTCTTGAAGTCAGCGCCTGCTTGCCAAGTCAAGGTAGGGGAAGACAGTCCAGTCACCTGAGCCGACAGCTGAGAATTCTTGTGCAAGGGTAATTTAGGTGATGTAACTTCCCTGCTGATGATGAAGCAACTGAGCAGAGGACTTTGCGTCCAAATACAGAACACGAACTTCTTCGAGATCAGCCTGACAGAGGATCGTGAAGTCAGACTACAAGTGACTGAAATCAGGCTACAAAGATGACATGTTACTGAAATTCAACATATACCTTGCAGATCTTCTCTCTCCCATTAGCCTTGGCAACTACGCTGGCAGGTGACAGCAACTGAATAGCATGTCTGCAAAGAGATTCAAGATCTATTACAACCCATTACAACCAACAATGCTTACACTAGATATACAGACATGTTGAAATTCAAATAAGTATAGAACACTAAAAGTGGGATGACAGCAGAAAAACAGGTTGGAAACCGTCCTAACTTTAAAGGCTCGAGAAAGTCCTTCCAACCCACATTCCAGCTAAATTTAATTTAATTTCGCATTTCTAATCTTGGCATGGGACACAAATGTGTGGACATAATCCGAAACAACAACAAGAACCATACCTCAAAGATGTCTGCTGCCCAACCTCTCCTAGAAATGCAAGACTGTCTTCATCAATTTCAATCTCCTCCACTTGTGCTCTAATAGCTAATATCTGCAACGCACAATAAACAAACATTAAATGCATTTCTACATAGGAAAGTTGAACACATGATAAGACAGGAAATAGGAACCTGGATCATCTCGATAGGGCCATATATCTGTGTCCGTACGATAACCAACCTATCTAGGAGGTCAACTGGGATACCATGGGGACTTGTCATGTCAGTTCCCCTGAATAAATAGAAGATTTGTACAATCAGAAGATGTATAATAAGGGCAAAATAGTACATAAGAGCAATATTTTTAAGGTGGTAAGGCGAGCACACCGCCCTGATGCCTAAGCGCCTAAAGTGGGCATAATTGCAAGGCGCTGACAGGGATTCCAGTATTGCAGTTCAGCATGGAGCAATTCACGACAGGTAAATCAAATTTCTTACCTTACGGTACATATTCCTCTGTTTGTAGCGAGTATTACAATTGGCGATAATGGGCTCTCGAGAGCACGATTAAGATAAGAGAAGCACTCAATGTCCAGCATGTGAACCTACAGATAAAATTATTATCATTAATGAAATCAGATCACTGTAAGGCATAGTTCTACCATTTAGTAACATAAAGCCAATTAGTTCAGGAGAACAATGCTGCTCCACAAGATGGACACATGTTTATTTGGCAATAGGAGAAGTTGGAAATAAACAAGCCCAAGCTCATTCATATTTTAGGAAATCCAAAACAAACCTACGAAGACAAGTAGATTTTCAATCCTGAGATAATAATATAATACCTCATCAATGAACAGCACACCAGGTACAAGCTCTGCAATACCTTCGTCTATATATCTGTTAACCACCTATGACCATACAAAAGAAAAGGCACCCAGTCAAATAGGTCTATCAAAATTTGATCCAAATTTTAAAAAAATAAGATGTTGCATAACGAGAATTTTGAACCTTATTGATCTCTTGGCGCAGCTTCTCAGTGATTTCAGTCTTCCGTGACTTCATCATCTGGCCCATAAGGGACAAAATATCTTGGCCTCCTTGCGGCTGGGCATTTGCGGCGTCAAGGTCATGCAGTGTAACGTCCTATGCAGATGAAAGCATATAATTTACTTCTTCCGTTTGACTTACATTGAACTTGAAAACAAGAAGAATACGCTTCTATGTTACAACACAAACAGGAATTTTCACTCTATGCTATTGGAAAAGATTATCACCCACCGAGAGAAAATAGAGAACAAACCACGCTGAACTCGATTGTCCTTCCATTGGATGTAGGTACGTAAAGGATGATTCTAACTTTCTTTAGACAGAACAAGAACAACGATTCCTACTTAATTGGTGAATTCAAGAAGATAATAGTTAACTGGGTTTGAGCGGATGATCAAAAAAATGGCGCGCAATCTTATTAGCTTGCGAACTTTATGCTTTCTTATCCAGGAAGGCGCAATTAATAATGTGGACTGAGTATTTGATGCAATCTTATTAATCCTTAGGTTATGGATTTTACGTTTCTATTTTCTGGAATTTAGCGGGAGCAAGCAACTTACAACTACCTGGCGGGGAAACCACATATTTAAGCATGCTTGAGCAACACTATAATAATAAGAAGCTTCATCTTGACAAATGCATCATGCTTCCACCTTTGATCCTTTAGATTAGATATAATATGGTGCAATTGCATACTATATTATCTCAGATCCAATTACCAAAAAGTTGTTTTATGGATGGTACAAAACAGAATTGGCTGAACAAGTGTACATGCAAACAAATTATAAGGCTGAACAAGCGTCAAATTTGTACCTGCACTATTTCTTTTTTCTTGTGGACTTCCCCTTTGGGAATTGGCACATACTCCTCTGCTTCAAGATCGTATTCTGTAGCAAAAGCATCACATCTGCCAACTCTTTTCACTGCACCGCTGTTAGCTTCGATGTATATAACATCACCAACTGCCACCTGCATCCCGTATACAAATGATGAAATGTTAAGCAGCTTCATGCAGAAGACAAGTAGGAGAGCCAAGGCAGAGCAACGAAAGTAAATTATAATGCATCATATCTCAATTTAAGTAAAGTCTCACGATGTTTTGTTATGCCATAACAGAAAATCTAACAATGAACAAGAGAAATATGATCATGTGTTGAGTTTCCATGAGTAAATACTTGCCATGAGTTTGCACAGGTTATATATTGCATAAAGACAATATTCTGAACACTTCAGATACACAATCCACCCGCTGTAATTCAAATCGAAAATACAAATGCAACTTAACAGTCTAGCAACAGAGACAGAGAGCAAGGGAGGGTAGGTAGCAGATAGTAACCTTTTCCTTGATTAAAGCATCATAAATTGTAGGATCTAACTTTAGTTGCTTAGTCCCTTTTACAGTCTTCAGGCCAATTACTACATGGCTAATGCTTTTCCCATATCCACCAGTTGAACTCTCAGATTCTTCTGGGGAAAGCTCTGTAACCTAAAAGGCAAGAAAAATAATATAGCCACAAGCACTAGACTATTAGTTGTATTAGAAAATGATGACAAAGAAAGTATTCATATCAAGTAACACACTAATTCAAGAACAATATCTTTTTCAAAGGAGCATATATGCCACTCCTACCTCTCCTTCATAGACTTCTTTGTTTTCTTTTATACGCAAGCCTATAGCTCTACGAAAATTTTCCATCAGCACCTCAGTTTTCTTGACCTCTGAAGAGTACACTTCTGATCCTACCATAGGACAGAAAGGGACCTGCATTCCAGAATAGCAAGAGAAGATTGAAGTTTCTTCCAAAACAGAAATAGACATAGGGCATCAAATGTAAATCAATATATAGTCCACTGCAAAAAATCATATACATTGAATGTAATGGACAAGACATCCTGATAAATTGCTAGCAAATGCTAGTAATCCACCAAATTTACTCCAGCGTTTTGGAGTAAGTATATTTTCTAAAGAACAGCATACTTCCCATTAGCAGGGCAGCATACTGAAATATTTTGAACCAGCGAGAAGCAGAATATAGAACTCAAAATAAATTTTAATGACCAAGACAAATGGTAACACATTACTAGCTAAAATGATACTACAGAACACCAATTTAGTTAAGTAGATGAAATGAAATTCAACCACTCTAGCAACATCCCAGCTACAACAAAATGAAAAGGTGAATGCTTCAATGGTCAGAGCTCAGTGAATTACTTTGGTTGCTTGTCTTACTAGAACTAGATGAGACCTTGCAAATGCAGAGCTGCCTGTTCATCATACAGCTGCTCTTCACGAGCAGTAAGTGAACATTTTTTGAAAAGAGAAGAGACAAAACGATAACAAGGACTGTCCAGTAAGGTAGTAACAACCTAGCCTCCAAATCTATATCTATATCTATACCTACACCTACTAACAAAGCAAGGTGCGTTTCTCCAATTTATTAATCCATTCACCCACATTATTATTTATGATTTTCTGAGAATTTTTACTATCCGAGGTGGTACTATTTTTTTGCGCTTATTGGGCTCCTGAAAAAACTTGATGCTGTTATTGGGCCACGTTTATGTTCTGGGCTCCCGTGACCTTACTGCAGTGCTGCCTTAAATAAAATCTTAATTTGATCTATCACCCTTTTTTTTGTCCGCCACACCTCCTGGCGGACGGCCCCTCGTACGGCCGCTTTAAAAGCCCAAAGGGAAACAAGCAGGAAAGCGTGACCACATCAGACTCCTTCACACGTACTCCGTCCGCATAAACAACCAGCCCCCATCGCCTCTCTCCCTAAAAAATCCGCAATCACAGGATATGTGGCTCCTGCACGACTTCCCGTTGGAACACCTCCTCCGGCGAAATCGGCGTCTCACTCCTGAACTACACGATTCAGAGGCATACGCCCTCATGTCGTGGTCCTGTCCGCGACCCATTGCTGGAGGAGGACTGCCCTAACCCTGCCGTGCACGTTGCCGGCGAAGAAGACGAGGATGCGTCACCGGGAGACGGGAAGACCACCGACATCCAAGATGGGTGTTTTTTTTTTCAGATTTCTGGCACGTCGCTCCTCTGATAACCAGAGTGTACAAAAACAGACCTGTTTCAATTCGTACATGTGCAAACAACAGCAAGTGTTATCTTCTGTTTGGTATGGCGATTTGGGAAGAGATACGGGGAGGATTGGAGGATCCTGCTGTCATCCAGATTGATGGCAAATGAGACGACTATGGCATTCGTCCAAGGAAGTAGTTTGGCAACGCCCCATGCATCTGTGTCACGCACACCCTGTCTAGCTTCATGATTGTGAGGGGAAGTTTGAACATGTCACACCCCCTGTTGTGTTGGTGATTGGTTTCAGTAAAGTCGGTGATAACAGAAGAATAAGAGATTACAATCATACAATTCTATATGCGTAAGTATGGGCATTGCATTCATGTAAATGTTGCCTTGCTTGGGCTTTTTGCTATGAAAACATGATTGTGCAGGTTTGAGATTTTGGTGGTACACAGAGTCTTCATAATGCAATGCTCCTTACCTGCAGGTTTGAGATTTTCTTGGTACAGGTTTGAGATAGTCAATGCATTTCAGCAAGTGCTCTTCCGGTGGAAGATGCAGCTTTCGGATGGGGGCATCAAATTTCACTAGCTAGCTGTTGAGAACTAATCATGTCCTCTCTGGCTCTCTCCGGCCGGGAGGTGCCCGTCGCAAGCATGGACATTTTTGCTAGTTTGGATTAACTAGTGCAAATCTAATCCGGAAAACAGGTTGTACATTGCAGCCAAACATGCAACAGTAGCAGTAAAAGTATCTAGCAATTTGTGAGGGGAAGGAGGATGAATTAGAGGCACGGACGGACCTTGCTACCCAGCTCCTGGGAGATGCCGAGAGCGAGTGCAGTCTTGCCGGTAGCAGGCGGGCCGGCAAGGAGCAGGGCGCGTCCCGCCATCTTCTTCTGGCGGATCATGTCGACCACCAGCCCGCACGCCTCCCTCGCCTCCGCCTGCCCCACGAACCCTGCCGACATCCCTATCGCCGTCCCATTGGCCTGCAAAGCAAAGAGAAGCAAACGAATCCTGCCTGAGAAGGAAAATTCGGGGTAACAACAAGTGGAAGGAGGGGAGCGGAGAAGCAGCAGGAGAGAGTGTTACGTCGAGGCCGAGGCCCTTGATGTGGGTGTGGGTGGCGACGCGCTGCTTCTTCGACGTCGACTGCACCTCCTCAATCCTCATCGCCGCCGCCGCCGCCGATCTTTCTCTCTATCTCCCGAGGCGGCTAGGGTTA